AGGATTGGAGATGGAGCTCAGCTGGTAGAGTGCTTGCCAAGCATGCAGCACAACTAAACCTCGTTGGTTGCACTGGCCTACAGTTTAGGACTTTGGGAGGTGGAACAGGGGGATCAGAAAGTAAAGGTCATAGTTGGAAAATACCCAGTTTAAGACCTGCCTAGGATACATGACACTGTCTCAAAAACAAGTGTAGGGAGGTGGAGCGCTATCTTAGTGTTTAAGAGCACTAGCTTCTCTTACAGAGCACCTACTTTCAGTGTCCTGCTCTCAAAGGTGGTTCATAAGTATCTGTAACTCCAGTTACAGGGGATCCTGTAATGCCTTCTTATGGCCTCTGCAGGCACTGCATCCTGCATGTGGTACACTCGATATATGCACACAAGCATTCATATACATAAAATTACACTAAATAAATCTCAAAAGAAGCTCGGCATGATGGCATTTAATTTCGCTATTCATGAGGCCAAGGCAGGCAGATGTCTGTGTGCTCGAGATTAGCCTGGAATGTGTAGTAAATTTCCAGGTCATCCATGTCGACATAGTGAGACCCTGTCTTAAAAGAAAGAAAAAAAATGTAAAGGGCCAAAGGGATGGCTTAGTAGGTAAAGGTATGTGGAGCCAATGCTGATCACCCCAGTCTATACCTGGTATCATCTGAAATCTACACAGGTGCCTTGGCATGTGCCTGCCCCCACATATACACATATAAATAAAAACACACAAATACATGAAAATATAACAAAATTAATATAATCAAAATTAAATTTTTTATCAAGTTCCTTGAGATTTCTTTCTTGCTTGGTTTCTTTCGTTTTGCAATGTAAGGGCTGGAACCCAGGGTATCAGATACATCAGCAAGTATTCTACCACTGAGCTAAAGTCTGGAGACTAAGGAATGTCTGAAGCAGAAGTAATTATTGAGCTGTTTTGGGAGCTAGTCAGAAGAACCGAGCTAATGAAGTGGTACACGCCTTTAATCCCAGCACACCTGAGGTAGAGGCAGGCAGATGTCTGTGAGATCCAGGCCAGCCCCATCTCCATGGTGAGGTATAGGTTAGCTGGGGCTACAGGGAGACACTGTTTTGAAAGAAAAAGAAAGGAAGGAAGAAAGGAAAGAAGGAGGAAGGGAGGGAGGAAGAAATGTCGGGGGATCAGTTTCCCCAGGAGCCAGCAGAAGGGCTAGATAGCAGTGGGGAAGTGTAGCCAGACCAGACAGAGCTCAAGCATCTTGTATAAACTATTTCAGGAGTGCTGGGATCAGAGGTATGTCCCACATCATGTGAGTTTATCGTGTTTTGATTAAAGGTCTTGTTCTGTAGCCCAGGCTAGCCTACAACTCACAGTCCTGCAGCTTAAGTATCCCAAATACTGGGATGATAGAGCTGGGTCAGCATACTAAGATTCTTTCTACGTTTGTGGGGGTGGGTGCATTCCTGAGGCTTTGACCATCTCTGCCCACGGAGGTCTTCAAACCACTGTTCAAAGAGGTTTTTAGAAGCAGACAAATTCACATCCTCAGGGCAATGGGGGCAGCCTGGCTCTTTCTTTGCCTTCCTGTGAGAGCCCTCTCAAATGCCCCACCAGGAGGTTTTGAAGGCTGTGCTGAATGGACTGGATGTGCTGATTACAAAGGTCTGACCCCAGTAGCATGGAGGAAGGAGCTTTGAGTGCAATGAACAGACATTGGGATAAGGGAGAGTGGTATTGAAGGGGGATCAGGAGCTTCCAATGGCATCATCTTGAAGGATCTCAGCGGTATCAGGCATTGCTGAGCCATTGGGAAAGAACTGTCAGGTGTGGAGGACAGTTTAGAGCTGAAGCATGCTAAGTGGAATGAGCCTGTCTGCCTCCTCCCTCCGGCACTAGAAATGGGACCAGGATCCAGGATGTACTCCAGGGACTGAATGGAGGCTGATACAGAGCTGTCTGTAGCTCAGGCAGAGAGCCCTTCCTGCAGTACGTAAGACCCTGACTTGGCCCTCAGCACTGAACTAAAAGAAAGGGAAGGAAACAGCCGATATTTGAGAGACGGAGTAAAAGCAGGCTGTACGTTGGCTTTTATCCGACTGTCTGAGACTTCTACCTGTTTCAGCCGCAGGAGGTGAAAACTACCAGTCCTCAATTTATGGAACATGCACTACAATTTCTGTAACATACAACGTGGAACAGAGGCTAGTGACTGCTCTCCTAGGTCATTAGTAAAAACAATCCTGTGGAGGCCTGTCGAGTCCCTGGGTTGAGGCAGCAATTAATATTGTTAAGCAATTTTATTTATTTATCTACTCTTTTGTCTTTGGTAGTTGTTTTTATCTGAAAAAGACAAGTTTTGTTTTGTTTTGTTCTGTTTTGTTTTTTGGAAAAGGGAATTCATACCTCCCAAAGCTGCCCAGAAAAGGTGGAAGTAGCAGTTTTCTGGAGTGTTTTTTGTTTTTTGTTTTCTTTCTTTAAATTTAGAATCAGGTGCTGGAGAGATAGCCCAGTGGTTAAGAACACTGACTGGTCTTGCAGAAGACCTGTGTTTGAATCCCAGCAACCACATGGCAGCTAACAACTGTCCATAACTCCAGTTCCAGTGGATCCAACAGTATCTTCTGTCTTCTGTGAACATTTCATTTAACAGTGCACTTACCTACATGCAGGCAAAACAGGCATACATATAAAACAAAAATAATAAATAATTTTTTGTTTTGGTCTTTTTGAGACAGGGTCTCCCTGTAGCCCCAGCTGTCCTGGAACTCACTATGTCGACCAGGCTGCCCTTGAACTCACAGAGATCCACCTGCCTCTGCCTCCCGAGTCCTGGGATTAAAGGCGTGCGCCACCACGCCCGGCTAAATAAAATATATTTTTTAAATTAGAGTCCTGCCTGGCATAATGACACATACCTGGAATCCTAGCATTTGGGAGGTGGAGGCAGGATTTCAAGACCAGCCTCTGTTACATAGTGAAAAACAGGAGGGAAGAAAGGAGAAGGTTCAGTATTTATTGACACCAACTGCATTAGTGTGATAGGAAATGTGAAGCCATTTTAATGTGGCGTTATCTTCTATACAAACAAGGTAGATTCGTTCTAGTATTAGATACCCAGGGACCCAGGCATAGAGTCTCATAGTATATTTAAAGTAGTTGTACTCAGCTCAAGTAGTTTAGCACCCAGGGGAATTCATTTCTGAAAAGCATTTAAACTTAAGAAAAAACTTGAAAGCATAATGCATATAAAAATAGCACAGTATATCAGAGAGGATATTGCCTATTGCAAAAAAAAGGCATATAATGAACTAATACTATTTAAGAGATAGAATTTTAGTCGTGACAACAGCTTTGCATGTATAGTACATTACATTCACAACGTTGTACAGTTGAGTGGTTACTACTTGTTTGTAGGACTGCAATTTAACACAAAAGGATAAGTATGTTTTAGGTTACAGAGCATAAAAAGGATACTTTCTATTTTTTTTTTTTTTTTTTTTTTGAAGCAGGGTCTCCCTGTAGCCCCAGCTGTCCTGGAACTCACTATGTAGCCCAGGCTGGCCTTGAACTCACAGAGATCTGCCTGCCTCTGCCTCCCGAGTCCTGGGACTACAGGTGAGCGCCACCACGCTGGGTGCTTTCTTTTTTAAACTGTAAATGTACATGATTATATCAGTGTGAAAAATACCAATTTTATACATGTGAAATGATAAAGACCCTATTTTGTTTCTCTAGAGTTTACAGCAACTGAAAACACTGTAACATTTAATCTAGAAACAAATGTATTGTTCAGTCCCAGGGAAATCAATATGTATAACCGGTTTTCTTTAAGCTGTTTGTATAAACAATGGTCATTTACTTGCTATGTTGAATGATATATGCTTTTTGACTTTTATTCATTGACTTCCTATGTTTTTCAAAAGGAAAAATTTGTCTTGTATATGATGAGAGCGTAAAAAATATCCTATCCTTACGATCAAGGAAGTTAACGCTTAAACCAAAGGGAAAGAGCTGGGCAATCGGCCAGTCTTGGGTTATCTAAATGACTAATGTGTATGTAATGTGAGCACTCACATGTTGTCAAGATGAAACTTGTGCCCAGCTTGGCTCTAAGTGACTAGTGAGTGGGGTTGAGTGGGGTAGTTCATACAGTGTGAATACAATGGTTGAAGGGATGATCATGTGCTGGGTACAGCAGAGCAGGCCAGCAGGGGTTTCATCACATTCATGGCATGACTTGAAATTCTAACATTACCAATTGTTTCCTTCTGGCATTTTTCATGTACTATTTTGAGATCATGGTTAATGGTGGGTAAGCAGAACAGAGAGAATAAATAAGTGAATAAATATGTAACTGTTGCACTAAACTTTCCCCTTCACGCTCTCTGTTTGGCCTGACCTCACTCACTCATGGTCCCCTGGTCCTGACCCAGACTGACAAACGAGCATAACCCAGTCCCATGTGAATTCTGCATAGTTTATACATTTGGGAGGGGATGGCTTACAAAGAAACAGCTTCTCATAACCCCCGCCACATTCAAGCCCCGAGCAGCAACACCCCGCCATTCCCCATCTCTCCTGGAGTTCCAACATGGCTGCTCTAACTCCAGTTCACCACTTTCTCAATCATCGTGACTAGGCTCCAGCCCTCTGTCCCAATGCCCATTCACAGCTGTCCTTAGCCCTGTTCCATAATGCCCTGCACTCTTCCTGCAAAGCCTGGGAAGGAGGTAGGGCCAGGGCTTATCAGAGGAGCATCCAAGTCACAATAACTAAATAAATCAGACACAAATAAACACACAGTCAATATAGGATATAAACCAGAACACTCCCATACTGAGAAATAAAATGGCAAAGAGCCAGCAAAGAGATAGAGAAGGAACACTCTGGGGAGGAGGGTATTCTACGATTACAGAGTGACTCTACCTCAAATGCTGTTAAAGATGGAATATGGGAGATTACCCAGTTTGTCCATATATATATATATAACTTTCCGAGAGACACCATGAATGTAAACAAAGACAAAGTACGCATTGAAAACATTTAATGGTAATTTGTATATTTTTCACAATATACATAATTTTTTTCCTGTGGTTACTTACTACTTCAAGTTCATCTGTCTCAGGTTTAGTTAATCTCTATTAGCAAAATTAAGGAAAGCACACCTCATTAGCCCCCTGAATACCTTCATGATCAGCAGCATGCATTGAAGCATTTTTTTTTTTTTTCCTTTTTTGAGGTAGGGTCTTCCTGAGCCATACCTGGCCTGGAACTCACTATGGAACCCAGGCTGGTCTCCATCTCACGGAGATCCACCCACCTCTGCCTCCCAAGTACTGGGATTCAAGGCGGGTGCCACTTCCCAAGCTTAGCATTTTTTCAAAAGCTAGAACAGACTGAGTTGTGAATCTATGTTTAAAGCACTATAACTGGGCTAGCTCTAAGAAAATACTGAAAGAAAAGGTCACACATTCTATTAAATTTCTGTATAGAGGCATTCCCTGTTCTCATCCGCTTGGAATTCTGCTCCTTTAAAAGTTCACCTTTCCCAGGAGACAGGTTGCTTACTGCCTGCATAAGGCATCAGATGCTCACACAGCTGGGATTTTACCTAAGATAAATTCATCTTATGTAAACTTTTATTCTATCTGTATCCAATGGAGGGAGGATTGAGATTAATTCAGATCAAGATGAAGAACTCATGCACAGAGGTGGTTTGGATGGTAAAAGTTTTAGATAAATTTCAACAGCATCAGTACATCAGCTAACTGAAACATGGAAGCTTTGCATAAAATGTTGAGCACATCAGTCAATGTTAAGGCTCTTAGGAAAAAGTCTGTCTACTGCTCCTATTCCTGTTAAAAATTCCATGTTTGAAGGGGAACCAAGGCAATGTGACCTTTGCCATAAGTACTTCCATACTGTGAAAAAGAGACAGAATGAGCTGAAGAAGGAAAGGACCGCAGTTACACTCCACAGCCCTGAACGTACTGAGAGAGATCTTGGTTTTGACAGCGGTTTTTCCATGCCACCCTGTGAGGAAAGTGAGACAGAAGAAGAAAAGGTCACAACTTGTCTCCTCTATGGCACAAATACTTCAAACCTATGGAGGAATTGGTACGTCAGTTATACTAAGATGTGGTGTGAAATGCAATCTATCGGTACACACCAAACCCGCTTTTGACTGATGAACGTGTGCCCACCCAGTAGTTTAACCCTCCCCCTATCCCAGAGAACAGAATGTTGAACATAAAGTGAAGTCATGTGCATCGCACACTCACTGATTCTGCAAACAGTGTGACAATAGAGGAAGGAAGTACGCAGTGTGAGAGGTTTTAAAATGCGTGGAGAAATTCCCTGAAATAATTGTAGGATTAAAAGCCCCAAGTGCAGTTTTCAGCTCTCACACTGACACTTTGGCCTCTGAAAGACTCACTGCATGCATGGACAGTGGGATAAACAGTTCCCCTTCAAACTCGGAACATACCATGCTCTAATGCCTTGTGGATCCCTCACGACTCTCTTTGCACATGTTATGGCTTGACTGATGTCATCTTGCAGCAGAGCTGGAAGAGAAGGGTGAGGCGTGAAAAGGACGGACGTAAGAAATTCATGTTCAGTGTAGACTGAGCCAGCTTTGTTCTGTGATGCTGAGCGGTGAACACAACAAATTATTCTCCAAGTGCCTGTGTAGCTGTGATTGGGGGACAAAAGCTGCTCTTCCTTCCATCCCATTTGACGTGATACCTATCATGCCTTTTCTCATTGTAAAGTCACTGGAGGACTGGGGATGCAGCTGAGTGGTAGACTGTTTGCTGGGAACGTGCAAGTGCTTTGGTTCCTAGAATCCCCAGTATTGAAAAAAGAACAATAAAATTTTGAAAATAATGAAAATTCATTGGATGCTCTGGGATTATTAACTATGATGATGGAAACTCCTCTTTGACAAAAAAATAAAAAAACCCCATTAAAAACAAAAGTGTACTAAAACCTGTATGAATATAGCTATTCTTAGCAATTTATAAAAGGCAAAATGGAAGTAACCCAGGTGCTTAAGAGTAAGGGTGGGATTTCAAATTGATATCGTAGAACTGGATTCACCATAAATGATAGCACAGCTTGGTGCTTGGTGCTTGGTGCTGTAGAAGTTATTCTGTGTGATCAGCAAATCATTAAGCAGTATGAATATAATTTTTTTGGTCTTTTTGAGACAGTGTCTCCTTGTAGGCCCCGCTGGCCTGGAACTCGCTGTGTAGACCAGGGTGGCCTTGAACTCAGAGAGATCTGCCTGCCTCTGCCTCCCGAGTGGTGGGATTAAAGGCGTGCACCACCATGCCTGGTTGCCTATAATTTCATTTTTATAAAAAGGACACATTCCTTATGTGTTCGTGAGCACACAGGAACATGATATAACTTTATATGTACACACAAGTTAGATTTACCTTCCTGAAGCATATTTGCCATAAGTTACCAGCTAACTGAAATCTCTGGGTACTAAAGCTAGGAATAATATTATTTTGTTTATGTTTTCATATTTTTTCAGTGTTCATAAATGAATACCTGATACACAATATTTTCTAATTATATTAATTAAATTATGAAGAATGTTCAAAAAGCAATTTTTGGGGGGAAATTGGACAATTAGATTGAACAGAGTGGGCATTAATATCGTTCACTTGAGTGGCATGTACCAGGTTCTGGGTTCAATCCCAGCACAGGGAAAAAAAAAAGGCACAATATCAAGTCTTTTATTTATGCATCAAATATTCTACATGTGACTTCTGTTGTAATACGAGCTCAGGCTTGTAACAATTCCATACCTTAAACATGCAAAAAAAACTTGTGTTTTCCTATCTTGAAAAAATGAGTTTGGGGCTGAAGAGACGGCTCAGTGTTTGAGAGCACTGACTGCTCTTGCAGAGGACCCAGGTTCGATTACCAGCACTCACATGGCAGTTAACAACTGTCTGTAACTCCAGTTCCACAGGATCCAATGCCTTCTTCTGACCTCCATGGGCATTGCACTGCACAGGTGCACTTACACATAAGCAGGCAATACACTCATACACGTTAAAAAAAAAAAATATATATATATATATATATATATGAAGAAAGAATGTGTTTTACCCTAAATAAAAAAGATTCATATTATTAGGTTAGGTTTAATAATGATTATCTAAGAACTGTGTTTTTTGGAGATACAAATTTAAAAAGTTAGAATTAAAACACCATGATGTTTATAATTCTCTCCAAAATATCTCAACCAAACTACTAAATAGGGCTAGATGTAGCTCACGAGGCAGCTTGCTTGCCTAGCAGGCCTAAAGCCTTGGGTTTCATTCCCAGCACGGCTAGAGACAGGAAGGTCAGAACTTCAAGGTCATCTTCAGCTACATAGTGAGTTTGAGGTCAGCCTGGTATACATGAGACAGTGTCTCGAAAAAAACCCAAACAAAACCTATATGCACATGTACCTATATACACATGTACCTATATACACATGTAGCTTTATACGCATGTATCTTTATACCAGAAGAAGCAACTACGGCAAAATGTTAGCAATGTTATAATGCACAGCCATATGAACTTTTATTATAATATCTTCGTGCCTGTAAACTTGAAATTTCATGAAAGAAAGGAAAGCAGTCAAAAATGAGCATATAGCACATTGTTCCTAACTGTACCAACATGTAGAAAGGCAATCTTTAGGACAAAGCATCAATAAGGCCACTTACAATTAATTAGATCATTCCCAAAACTTTTTATACATTTTAAAAAACCTCAAAATTGGGGGCGAGAGACGGTGTAGCAATTAACAGTACTGACTGCTCTTGCAGAGGCCCCAGGTACAATTCCCAGCCCACACATGGAGGGTAACAACCGTCTGTAACTCCAGTTCCAGGGCGTCTGACAGACATTCTGATCTCCTTGGGTATTGCAGGACACATGTGCACGTACACACATGCAGGTAATACACTCATACACATAAATAAGACTAATAAATAAAATACATATTTAAAAAAAACCTCAACTTTTAATGATACCAGCTTTTTAATTTTATTTTTTAATCTGGTGATAAGAATGGATCCCAGGTTATTGTGAATACTATGCAGAATTCTACCACTGAGCTACACCCCAGACTTCATTTCTTAATGGTTAATTTGAGGTGATTACCAACGGCTTTCTAGCAGTAAAAACAGGGTCTCCCCGGATTCCTGATGCTCCTTCAGTGTTACATCATATAACAGACTCTCTGCTCCTGTACAGATGGCCCCTTTGCCATCACTCTAAAGCTGCCTTGTCTTACCGCTGCAGGAGATCCCACAGGCATTCACTGCACCCGGGGTTTTGCCATCATTACACCAGTAGCGACTGTTGATCTGAAATATCCCATAATCAGTACTTTGGCTTCCAGGATTGTAGTTTGTAGCTTTTGTGTTATAACTGCTCTCCCATTTGGCCAAACACATCCCTGAAACACAAGTATATTTATCAATAATCATCAATACTAGATGAGTTGCATTGCATACTAAAACTAGTTGTTTTTAGTTAGCTGTATTTTACAAGTGACTTTCTAAGTACAAGCACAGGGCTGGAGAGATAACTCAGAGTCCTGGCTGCTCTTGCTGAGGACCTGGATTCAATTCCTAGCCCCTATATGGGAGCTAACAACCATCCATAACTCCAGTTCCAGGGGACTTCGACACCCTCTTCTAGCCTCTGTGGGCATTGCATGACAGAAGTCCACTTACATATATGCAGGCAATACATTTGTACACATAAAATAAAAATAATAAAATATTTTTTTTAAATACAAGCATTTCAACTTATAAACTATGCTATCACTACTTCAGCCTGGGTCTGGCCCTGGCTATGTTGTACAGGGTAGTGTCTAGGGCTCAAGTGATTCTCCTGTCTCTGCCTTTCAACTAGCTGAGACTGCTGTGCCCAGGCAACATTTATTTTAAAGCTCCTAGAGAATACCTGTGAAGAATTCATTATCTCCACTTAGAAAGTTAAAGTATTTCTCCCATTGCCTTTCCCTCCCCTGCTTAGTGTCTAGGTGATTCTCCTGTCTCTGCCTTTCAACTAGCTGAGACTGCTGTGCCCAGGCAACATTTATTTTAAAGCTCCTAGAGAATACCTGTGAAGAATTCATTATCTCCACTTAGAAAGTTAAAGTTTAAAGTACATTGCCTTTCCCTCCCCTGCTCCCATCCTTCAGGATATGCTGGCCTAGAATAGAAAAACTGTCATCAGGTAGATGTCATAGATCATGGATCCAAAGCATATGCTGATAGAAAACGATTTTATCAGAAAAACTGAGAATTTTCTGAGTGATTTCTCTTATTGTCAAGGTGAATTTGCACAGCAAGTGCAATTCTTTTCTTTTTTCAGATAGGGTGTCACTGAGTAGCTCAGGTGGGCATGGAGCCTGCAATTCCTGCCTCAGCATCCAGGTGCTAGAATTACAGGAGCATGCCATCACAGCTGGCTACTTAGATTCTTGAATACAAGAATATTGGGCCAGTTAAGGCTATTCTGTAATTCCATCCATCCATCCATCCATCATCCATCCATCATCCATCCATCATCCATCCATCCACCCATGTGTTCACTCAATCACTGAAAATTAGTTATGGCAAGGGTAACTGTGAACTGAACATGAAAGGCACAGTAGTTACAGTGACATCAATGGAGTAGTCTATGAGGGAACTTTTCCTCATGGCACATCTTCGATTGCATGGAAAGACGTGCAAAGGTCTCCCTAGAGTGAATGAGAGTACTAAGTCACTCTATGCCCAATGTCAGAGGTCCTCATTTAAAGTCACTGGAGGAAACGGGATCCCCAACAAAAACTTGGAAAATTTTTCTCTTAAAAATCAATTCCGCACCCCTTTAATCCCAGCACTCAGGAGGCAGATGCTGGCCAGCCTGGTCTACACAGTGAGTTCCAGTACAGCTGGGGCTACAGGGAGACCCTGTCTCAAAAAGACCAAAAAAAGAAAAAAAATCAATTCCATCTCATGGCAAGGGAAATTGAGATTCTGGAAATGGACAGCGGCCCCAATCTCAGCCAAAGAACTCTTGGGCAGCTGATTACTGCTGGATGAGGAAGAGCTGATCTTCTTTATGGGGGGGACTCTAGATAGGCTGACTAGACCTTAGTGGATGAACTTCCACTGAGGGACGGCAGGGAACACTCATTTGACTCAATGGGCCTAACATAAATGACAGAATGTATGAAATAAACTTCAGGGGCTATGGGAGGGTGCTGGTGAGGGGGGGTATAAAATTGAATTTAAAAATACATTCAAAAAGAAAAACAACAGAAAAAAAGAAGACAAGACAAACCCCATGTCATTCCAGGCTCTCAGAACCAAGTTCTCACTGGATCCCACTGTTTTTCATCAGTCTCCGTGGGCCCTTGAGTTGAGGCACCCGGAAAACCTAGTGAGACTGGGGTACACCTCACAGCCTGTTTACCTTCGAATGGCACAGAAGTTAACCTCCCATACCCTCACCCCACCACCTCTGATCCTAATGGCCAAACTGATGTTTTTAACCACAGCAAACTCAAACACACAGAAAAGCATAGAAGTCTGTTCACTGAAACCTTCTTCCTGATCACTCAGTTCCACCTCCCACCTGTCTATAGTTGGAAGCATGAAGCACAAGAGGCTTACAGTTTGCCAGGCTGACTCCTTCATAGCCATCCATTCCGTGGCTTTTTAGAGTTCTGGCCAACTCACAGCGCTGAAAGACCTTGCTCTGGACTGTGACTGAGAGCAGGAGAAGCCCCAGAGTGAGGAAAGTCTTCATGGTGCCTGGGAGGTCTGAAGAGCAGCTGACTAGGGTAATCAGGCCCCAGTATTTAAGTGTCCTTTCACTCCTTCTTCTAGCAGGAAAAGGAGGGAGGCACCCTCTTTTTGCTGTGTGCAAAACAAGCTTGTTGTTCTTGGCGTGACACAGTTTTACTTTCCTCTTCCTTCTACTTGTTGAGAAATAATCTGGAGATCCAGGAAGAGGTTTCACAAGATTTATGTGATATTGTTTAAAGACTTGGCTCAGGAAGAATTAGGAGGTAACAGTGTTTCTGAAAGAAGATGTTTATTTCTTGTATGTTATCATCAAGTTAAGCTATTATAAAGGAAAATAATGACAAATTTGTACTATTAAAATCAACTGGTAGTTTTGATCGTTATTTCTTTGGTTTAAACTGATTTGTGTGCATTTGCCATTTTGCATTGATATATATATATATATATATATATATGTATTTTTTTTCATTGATGTTTTTACTTCAGTCCTCTTATGGGACTGAAGAGATGGCTTGGCAGTTAATAGTATTGGCAGTTCTTGCAAATGACCTCGGTTCAGTTCTCAGTATGCACACGGTGGCTCTGAACTGTGTGTAATTTCAGTTCCAGGGGATCTGTCACCCTCTTCTGACCTCCTCAGGCATTGCAGGACACAGATGCACTTACACACATGCAGGCAGTACACTCGTACACATAAAGTAAAAATAATTTAATGAAAATTTCAAATTCATGGTTAGCAAATTTGTACTCACTGCAACTGTTAGAGCTAGTTTTTAAGTTTTTCTTTTGATTTATGTGTATGTATTTCTCTCTCTCTCTGTGTGTGTGTGTGTGTGTGTGTGTGTGTGTCTGTGTCCATGGAGCCCAGAAGAGATGTGGAATCCCCTAGACCTGGAGTTTTTTTATTTTTATTTATTTATTTATTTATTTATTTATTTATTTATTTATGTGTGTACTCACTGCACCTGTTAGAGCTAGTTTTTAAGTTTTTCTTTTGATTTATGTGTATGTATTTCTCTCTCTCTCTGTGTGTGTGTGTGTGTGTGTGTGTGTGTGTCTGTGTCCATGGAGCCCAGAAGAGATGTGGAATCCCCTAGACCTGGAGTTTTTTTATTTTTATTTATTTATTTATTTATTAATTTTATTTATTTATTTTATTTGAACTAAACTCGGGCTCTATGGAAGATCAGGAAGTGATCAGCTATATCTCTAGCCCCTTGATCAGGTTCTGATGATTCTGCTTAGATGAGGTTGGAAACTGGGAGTTGGGTAGTACTTAGGAGTCCCAGGGACTAACCGGTTTTTCTGCAAATGGCTTTTTGGTTCCATGATTAAGTTCCCCAACAACCCTATGGACGATGTTAGGTGTATTGGTTTACAGTGATTCTCAAGATGGCGCAGACCTCTCTGTCTTAATAATCTTGTTTCATTTTAGTTTGAACCAATGTAAGGTTTCTGTTGTGCTGTTATTCGTCTAATCCTATTTTCTATTAGTATTAAGTAATTATAATGTATTTAGGTTGGACTATAAGGACATCAAAAATTGCCTTAGAAAAGTCCTCAGCACAGGTAAATCAGAACTGTTTGTGACTTGGTGAGTTGTCCTTGGCATGCATTTTGTCAAGTAAAAATATTTTCTTGCCAGTGTTGCAGTGCTGCTTCCTGTGGCGGCTGAAGAACTCCGGAGACCATGGGTGGCCAGCTGCATCCATCTGTTCCTCAACAGTGATGGGCTGTGGCATTTTGGATCAGGAGAAGCAGAGGAGGTGGAGATGGCACAGCCCTGCTACTCCCCAGAGAAGACCAGATGCTAAAGGGCAAGAGGAAGCAATTGTTTGCTTTACTGTAGAGCTCTTGCCTACAATAGCAGAGGGGATTGACCCCCAGCCCACACATGGCATTTGGGTGCCCTGCGAATTGCACAGGTTGTTGGGAAATGTGACATAATTTGGGTGTGCCAAATTCAGACCGCTGTATTTTAAGTTCAACGATTAATGATCACTTCCTTGCTTTTTAGTAATCAGTTCCTCTGCAGCTGAAATGCTTGTTCACTGAAAACTAGAAAGAAAAGCTGAGAAGTCCCCTCTTGGGACACGTGACACCATCGAGACTTCAGCAATCATCGAGGTGTGATTCAGCCTATGGTCTGGTTGCTGTTGCCTTTTGAGTCAATGGTGGAAGAAATTATGTTATTCCACACACAGCAGAGGCCTGAGCTAATACTGTGTATAGACTTGAGCAAGATCCACAAGTGGTGTGTGGAAACACCTTACTTAACGCCTCAGCCTGAGAAACAGCAGTAGCCTGGAAAGATCCTGCCGTGGGTGGCCCCAGCCCTCAGGAGAATCACTGGTCCCAGCTGCTGCTGCGCACTCACTCTCTTCCTCATTTCCTGTGTTCTGCTCCACCTGCTCTGCTGGTAGAAACCCCAACGCGCTGCGGTTCACCTAAGTGCCTGCCACTGGAGCACAATATTCTTCCCTGTTAGCTCTAATGGCACTTTCAAAACGTTTCTATTGTTTTTACCCCGCTGCCTGTTCTTTCTTCTACTAAGCTAGAAGTCCCCTTTCTAGATGTTTTCTCTCCCATGCCAAAAATAATTCTTTTTAAAAAATATTTTGTCAGGGGCTGGAACAATAGCTTAGCAGTAAAGAGCACTGCCTGTTCTAGCAGAAGATCTGGGATTGAATTCCACCACCCACATGGCGGCTAACAGCCACCCATAACTCCAGTTCCAGGGCTGATGCCCTCTCTGTCCTTCACAGCCACTGCATGACACGGGTGCACTTACTCTGGTGTAGTCATAACAACACTCATACACATAAAATAGTAACACTAAGTTAATTAATTACTTAAAAAACAAACCCAGGTCCTCTGCAATAGCAGTCAGTGCTCTTAACTGCTGAGCTATCTCTCCAGTAAACCCCCAACAGTTTTAAAGACAAGTGCTTTTTATGTAATATTTTTATTGATTCTTTGAGAATTTCTTATATGGATACAATGCATTTTTATTTTATTTTAATTTTTACAGAAACTTTATTGAGAATTTCATACATGTATATAAGGTGTTTTGATCTAATCCATGCCCACTCCCTCCCCTCCAACATTCCCCCTTCTGAAGAGGTAACCCTAAAAAATTTTAAGGATTAGTACAAGCTCCCAAATACTTTTGACATTTTTGGCCTTTGGAACAGAGTATTTTCTTAATAGGCCCAAGGACAGTGTGACTTTTAGCCAAAAACTGGCTACATTTCTTTGGGGTCTTTTTACCCTAACTGCCTTGCCAATTCCTACCTCCTATTCTTATCACACCATCCTCTGAAAGGATTACACAAATTGCCAATAGGGAATAGGGACAGAGACCGCTCTGGATTTTTCCATGCTGAACAAGGACTCAGGGTGAGGCAATTGGAGTACCCCTTCAGTGGGTCTACCTAAAAGACTCCCAAATTGCATAACT